CTATTTAAACCAATGAATAAAATACATTTGGTCAAGTAAGAAAAAGTGAGAACTGAATTGTATATGATTCATTATATTTACTTATGTTTCTTTCTCTCCCAAATATTGGAGCATCTCTCTAAATGAAAAGTTGAGGCGTAAATCTAATCTTCTAAACTCGTTGTTGAAGTATTTTTCTTTTATAGAGTTGTTTTTTTTCTATTTTTTTAATGTTAAGTGTATAAAAGAGTCAATTTGATTAAAAACAAAAAATATAAGTTCAGGATTCATTAAAAAAATTATAGAGTAATATGATACAAAAAATCATACTTTATTTGATTGTTCAAATAACATAAGTACTAAACAAAAATAAATTCAAAGGACATAACAAATCTTTAAAATTTGGTTACACATTAACATTACAATAAACTATGCAAACTGCGATTGTTATTTGGGCGAATCATGATGGTTTAAACAGCAACGAAATTACCCTCGTAGCATGTGACAAGTCGCCACAATTACTACCTATGTAAGATCACTTCGCAATTTTTTCATTGAATTGTTCGAACGATCAAGAGCAACAATAGTTTTAGGGTTGATTGACTGTTTTACCCCTATTTTAAAATCAATTTATCATTTTTTCTGTTATCTTAAACTATAAACAAATATATCCTTATTTGACCAAAGTTTGACCAAACTACTAAAAAAAATATTTTAGCCACGTTCAAAACCGTAGCTAACTTGCTGAAAAATCGAGGCTAATATAAGTTGAGATATATATTGAACATACATTTGAAAAAAAAAGCTTTGTGATATATTATAACAATTTTCTTCTCGTAAAAGCCTTGCATCTCATAAACCTGAGAGGTGTCTCGTGAGCATCTCCCTCCAGCATATAAGTAGCAAACATAAGCTTCTGGGAATCCGTACACTGCATCTCCCTCCCTCATAAATATCTTGTCCATGGCCTGGAGCCATCTAGCAGCAACAATGGGGTCATAGGATCCATCAAAGGGAGGTGGCTTGTGCTTACGGAAAGCATTCAGCCGGCGATCTATAGTCTCTCGATCCTCTATGGGTTCAAGTTAAGGCTGCATCAATCATATGATGTGACTCACACCCTCCATGTGGCTCAAACCATCAGGGTCAGGATTATGCGTTCCTCCTCCTCCGTTCCCATCATGGTGACTAGGTGGAGATGGTGGTGGCGGTGGCGGTGGTGGCGGAGAAAATCAGCCCTCATTACGGCCAGCCCTCATCTCCTCCAACATGACCCTCATCATGGTCATGTTCGTCAGCCTATTCACCTCAAGCACGTCCTCTGTAGCTTTCCTGTTCGCCTCTCTCATGGCGTCCAACATAGCCTGTTTGGCCACTCTGATGGCCTCCTGGTCGGCTTGTCTAGCCGCCTGCATCTCAGCCAATGCAGTCAGGATAGGATCAGACTAACCCTCATTCGTCTCTCGAGTCCTCCTCGGAAGTACTATAACTCTGCACATGTTACACAAGGATAAGTTGATCAGGCCTACACAATATGGTCACGCATGCATTATTATAGCAAAACCTAAAAGAAACTCAACAGACAATTCACACAACAAGGCATCCTAAGTTATTGCAATACATACAGGCTTTTTCCCTAGAAAGTGCTATGATACCATAAAATGTAACACTTAGTGTACACCCGGTGTATTAAACATACATATGGTAATAGCGCAGCTAAATAAATGCGGAAGCTAACTTTTTCTTTTCAATTATGAACTAATCATTATTAATCAAGTGGATTTACTTATTTCTTTTCAAAATATCGCCTGTATGTAAATTGCAATAAATAACTAACTGAATAACCTCATGGTATAAATAGGTCTCTAGTCACGAAACTATAAAATGTAGACTGGACAATATACTGATACATTATACAACTCAAGACTGAAGAAACATAACTGATATCACTGTGGCATGGACAACCTTCATGCTCACCAAATAAGGCAACATAGCCAAACAACGTCACGAGTCAAATAATGATGCACTGAAAATAAAACATAAATAATATCCAGGCATATCATAAAAGCAACATGCATAATCAGCTCAACTCTGGCCTCCTGCCACCAGAGGTCTCAACCCTCGAGGTACCTGTACCTGAAAATGTGCCCCAACACGGGGTGAGATCTCTAAAAAGAAATCTCAGTAAGACAAGGGGTCCTCAAGGATCTCTCCACCCCGAGCTCACTTACATGTGCAATATAAGTTCCAAAACAGAATAAAAGTATAATTTCATAATTTGTGCAATGCAGCATATATCCATGTCATGTGTGTAAGCATCCTACTGGCCAGAGAATAAAAGGTAGGGTTTACATACGTCTACAACCTACAGTACAAGGCTTCTCGCTTGTACCTCACCCACAGAGTTACCATCTTGTATATCTCCACATACTCAGAGGTTACTGTCTAGGTGGAACATGACATACATATCATATGACATTTGCACTCGTAAAACAGCTCAATAGCATATCGATAATCATCACATATTTTCACACCAAAACACAACATACATATAAACTATCTCTCCATGAGGTATGGTGGAACCAACAATGGACAAAACCGAGAACACGAAAGCTTACCTGTAGTGCCAAAATCCCTATCCAAAGGCTCGGTATACACAGACACCCCAACAGTCGCACAACACGTCAATTGCAATCTGTTTTGTATGAATACACAATTTAATATTCAGAAATCTCAATTACATAACCATTAAACAACGTCCTCTCTTTCGTTTACATCCTTTTTAACTCATTGTTATCATGTACGAAACCTCACTATTAAAGGTATTAATGTTTCCCAACAGTAACACTGACTTCCTAAGGCATCATGCCCTAATGAGAACTTTCCCACGCATTAAAACTGATTTCTGATCATTCTGACAGGGGGTAATCGATTACCATACAATGGGTAATCGATTACTCAACTTGGTAACCGATTACCAAAAACAGAGTAATCGATTACTGAACATGGTAACCGATTGCATACGAAAGGTAATCGATTACCACGCGGACAGAACAGAATTCTGCAAAAACTTTCTGCATAATCCGCGACTCCAATGGTTCCCAATGGTCCAAGGTCCCATTTTTTTTTATCAAAACAGAAGTTCCTTAACACTAATCATGCATAGATTAACCACCATTTACTTGAATAATCAAAGTTCCCTCTTTTAATGACTCAAACAAGCTAAAATCATGAAATTTCAAGGGAAATGGTCAATGGTTGCCTATGGACCTTTGAACTCAGAAAATGAGAGGACTCTGAGGACCAAGGAAGTGCCCCAAGCCACTGACTTAGTGGTGCACGAAAATCTCCACACCAAGGCAGGTTCTTTTCTTCCAAAGCTTGGTTCTTGAAGCTTCAATGGAGGTGGAACACACTCACACTCCCACAACCAAGGAGGCAGCCCTCACATGCTTAGAAAACAGAACCTTAAGCTCCCAAGAACACACTCCTCACTCCCCCAATGCTTGCTACAAGTCTACAATATGATGGAGGAGGGTTTTCAAGAAGAAAAGGTGGAGTCTTGGGCTTGAAAATGAAGAAAAGCTCCAACTTTCCTTTGAAGAAGAAGGTGGCAGCCAAGACACCAGAAATTCCGCGTAGAAGAATGAAAAACTGACCTAAAAAAGTATGTCATTTAGTATTTATAGTCTCCTTAAGTTTAATCCGTCGGTATTAGCACTAATAGTTACGCTAATCATTTTAATCTCAAACTTCATATTCTGAACCTAGCCATTTTTCTAGGATTTGTCATATTTTTATTATAATTTTTCGCAACACTTTTCCGGTATGCGTTTTACACGTAGCCGGAATTAGTTCTGACATTAATACTCATAATTATGACTCCAAACTTGGTTTACTCAACTTAGGTATTTTTCTAGGAATATTCATGTATTTATCATAATTTTTCGGGATACTTCATCGGTACGCATTTATTCCGTGAAGCAGAACCGGTATCTGCACTTTTCGTTAGAAAAGCGACTTTCAGCGTTATTAATCCCTTATAATAATTATTTAAGTCTTCCCATATTTATTCGACGTCAATTATGAAATTATTTCTTAAACTCATAATTAAATTATTAAAATTCCTAATTTAACGGTGCAGGTTCTTACAGGTCCAACCCGTCAGATTGGCCTGTTTAACTCGCCCAAAATGGATGTTAGGTTGGAATTTCCAACCTGCTTGAATTTGTCTCGCTCTTAAGAGCGGGTCAAAACGTGTTCAACCTGCTGCTGTCGGTTGATTTTTTAATTTTTTTTAAATATTTATTAATGATATTTTTTACACCATTTTTGTCATTATTTGATACCTTTTACATTTTTGGAGAGCATAATTTTTGAAAAAAAATTATTTTTCTAATATGTTGGCGGTGTAGGTCGGGTTGGGGGCAGTTTAAAACTTTTAACCCACTTTCAAAAGCAGGGTGCGACAGGTTACCCCCCTAAGAATCTTCAAGGATAGTAATATTATTCAAGCCTCATTGCAAGAACGGCAAGCCAAAACAAGATCATTGGATGCTCAATCAGAAGAGAATCAATCATTAGTGTCCCCCTCACACTTGGCATATAAGTAAATTCAAAAGTTTCATTGCAGCAAGAAGGGAAAATGTTGAAGCTTGTTTTCATCCTCATCCTTTCAGTGAAAATGTGAGAAACATTGTTACTTATGGATTAACTACAATAAATAACTTTGATCAATTATGAAGATAAAACTTTTTTATAGTATGCATTTATATCATTAAAAATGTTTAATCTCTTGAGATATATATATTTTTCCTTAGCCAAACTCTAGTAATTATATAAAATTAAATCCAATAATATAATATTATCAGAATAATACCCTATGGCTGTGATGCACTTAACAGGAAGAAAAAGTTGGCACAAGGGTACACCCTATTTTGTTCCCCTATCAGAGCAAGTAAAGTAGCCTTTGAAAAACTTTAAAACTCTGTTCACTTTGTCTCTTTTCCTGAACCAGAACAACCCTTTTCCCTTTACCCTTTACCATTCCTGTTTTTTTTTTCTTTCTACTCTGTGCCCTCTATGGGGAAAATCTGGGTTGAGATATGCTTGATATCTGCTCGTGGGGTCAGAGTTTCACGCTCACTTTGGAAGCGTCAATGGTATGCTGTTGGTTGGGTTGATACTAAGAGTAAGTATTGCACCAACGTTGATGCTTCTGGGAATGCAAATCCTGTTTGGGGAACCAAGTTTGCCATTCAGGTTGATAACTCAGACCCAAACTTACAAGATCTTGCACTGAACGTCGAAGTTTACAGCAGAGACCCCATATTCCTCACAGAGAAGCTTCATGGCTCAGCCACGGTTATTCTCAGAGAGTTTCTTGCCAAGCAGGTCAAGAACTCTGAGGTTTCAGGGCCGAGGCATGAGGAAGTAGGAAGCTACCAATTACGAAAGAAGAAATCCAGCAAATCAAGAGGCTTCATTGATGTTTCAGTTCGTGTTTCTGAGGACAAGGAAGAGCCTAATTCTCACCCAGGTATATGGTTATTTCACAAGCTTCAATTTTTATTTTTTTTTAAAGAAAAAAAAAAAAATTCTATTTGCACTTTTAGTTTCTAGAAATGGGTTCCATATTTGAGTGAAAAAGTTGACAACTTTGATTGAAGTTAAATCTTTAGCTTTGAATAATTAAGTAAAGTGATTTGAGGCTCTATGTTTGTTATGCAGGTAATGGGGGAGGAATAGTGCTCTTAGATCGTGGCAATAGTACCCAGTTGACCCCAGATATTGGATTTGGGCAACCTTATCAGCAGCAAATGGCTAAACCTTCATTCCATGGGCCAGAAAAACATCCACAAACTACTGTCTCTTACTCACATCCAGTGCCATTTCCTACAAACTATTCTAACCCATATGTGGGTGGACCAAGCTACCCTGCAGCTACTGGACCAAGTTATCAACCACCCAGAAATCCACACTCAAATGTTGGTTATATTCCCACTTTCCCCCCAAGTAGTTATGGCTTGGAACCAAGTTATATTAACATGCCATCATCCTCTGGGGTAGCCCCAAGGCAGAGGGGACCCCCAGGATTTGCAATGGGTGCAGGTGCTGGAGCATTAGCAGCTGGTGCTGTAATGTTTGGTGATAATTTAATGTCAGGTTTTGATGTTCCTTCAGGTCTTGGAGATCCCAGTCTTACCATTGCAACTGATCCTCTTTTCTGAACAAAGTGTTAAATTTAAGCAGCTTCTGTAATTATATATTAGGCTGCACACTATTGTTTACTGCCTACCCGTAAACAAGATATGTCCATGCCATAAGAGTTCTAGTATCTTTAGGTTTACTCTATCAAAGAAAATGCTCAAGTTTCTTGTGTCTGGTCTGAGTCTGGAGAGCATTTTTAGTGCTCCTGGAGCATCAAGTATGAGACAACATATTAGAGCTGATTTCTTGTCATTTAAAAAGAGACAACATATTAGAGATGATTTCTTGTTCGAAGCACTTGAAATATTTTCCTGAATATGAGGGATCAAGTTTTATTCTTTTACTTTGTAGCTAGTTCTAGTCTGTATCTTCATGCTATTCTCTTTGGCACAAAAGAAAAAGGTGTCTAAATGGCAAGTATGAAACTGTATCTGAAACTTGTTATGGAAAGTCTAGTCCTGTGTTGAGGGCATGTTTGGTGTTGGATAAAGTCTGATAGTATAAGACTTGATAATATAAGGTTTGATTATATAATGTATAATTAAATTCTAATACTATTAAGCATTTGGCATGGTATTGTATAAAATAATACTATCTAATATTTGATAATGTAATGTATAATACTAGATAAGATAAAAATAAATATTTTTGACAAAAATATCCTTTAACAAAAAGTTCATATGATTCTTTCAAATATATCTTTCATTTATTTCCTTCTATTGTAATTTTATTCGATTTGAGTAATGTCAGTTTCTCTTATAATAATTAATATCTTGAACAACAATGAGACAGGATTTTCTCAAGACTAAAAAAGTCACCTCACATCCTATAGAAATATTCTGCAAGACTAAAAAAAGATAGTATAAATAGCCTTTTTTGTGGCAGGATCAAACATGCCAGTATTTGATTTTGCTTCCGACAATGCAGCTACATCTTACTATGAAGTTCATTTGAAACTGGCATCTAAAATAAAATAATCCATTGAGAAATTCATCTTTCATTGATATACAAGGTTTATATACAAGTTAAGTGAGGTGAAACAAACATCAAAACTATAGACTTTCTTCAACCACCGATAAGCTTTTGGTATTTTTGTATTTGTATTCAATGCCTTGCAATGCTTAACTTGTAGATACGCCGCGCATCAAATTACTTACGTCAAAGTGATCGGCGTCTGTCGTCGTGACATCAAACCCCATAACCTATTGGTAAGATTTGTAACAGTTCAGCCTGAGTCATGGTTTTTTCCCCCCTCGTATTTTGTTATTTCCTTACCGCTTTGAATGTGTCAATTGATCATAATGACGTATGTCTTGCTCAACTTTATTATTAATTATTACTATTATTGGGAGTGGGGGGGTTACATTTGTGAGTTGTTGATAATCTATATTGTATTTCTTAGAAGGAAAGCACTAGACAATTAACAATGCTGCATGTTTTTTTTATTTTGTGATTCATACCATGAGGAAAAATTTGATTGAGATATTTGTATATAGAAATATGAATGGACTATGAGTAACTTGTAACAGTATACTGCTTAGAATTCATCTCTTTGCCATCAAAGCGCATTGAACTCACATGTGATGCATATGATAGGTTAATCCCCAGACACATCAGTTAAAGATATGTGATTTTGTTGGGGAGCGCAAAGATGTTGGTAAGTTCCTTTTTCTACTGAATTTGAAGATCTTTTTTTTTTTTGAATATCTGAATTTGAAGATCTTTTGATAGTATGTATCTGAAACTTATGATACTATTGTAATTTTAGGTGCCTGGTGAGCCCAACATATCATGTATCTGCTCTCGATATTATAGAGCACCAGAACTTATATTTGAGGCAAGTGAATATACAACTGCTATTGACATGTGGTGTGCTGGTTGTGTTTTAGCTGAGCTCCTTCGAGGACAGGTTAGGATATGCACTATTTTATTTTATATCTGAGCTTTTATTTTATTTTTTCCTACTTTTAAATGTATTTATTTTGTTTAATTGAGCCCATATTTTGAAATAGGTCAACTAATCATTTTTTTGTAATTAAGTTTAGAAGTATTTCTTTTTTAAAATAATAGGAATAAGAATAAATAACATAATTGATTAGAATAAAGCAAGAAAAAAATATACAGGATAAAAAATAAAAAAGATAAAACACAAAAATAATCATACTATACATGTTCTTTATTATTTGTTTGGATTTAGATAGTTTGTTGTTACTTTGTATTGAGTATTTAATTTTCTATTTAGGTTGAGTCAAATTATAATTTTCACCTAAGTTAATTAATTATAATTATATAATAATAATAAAAAAAAACAAATGCCAAGGCACATGCTGGCTTGAATGTGACAACGCCACCGGATAAAATACATCTTGATATTTTTGAATGCTTAGTACTTATCACTGCTTAAAAAGGAGAGAAAAAAATTAAGGAGCACAGATTTAATTATTTATCTAAAATGCAAAAAGTTCTTATTCCTTCCGAAATCAATTTTACTGGTCGAAAATCGGGAATTCATCCACGCAAAATATACAACCAAACTCAAATTTTGTTTGATAGCAAATGGAACTTTAGAGTATTTGCCATAAAATCGAACAAGAGAAGCTATGTAATTTCCAACTACCACTTACGAATGTAGAATAACTACTCAATAACAGAAACGGCAATTTTGTCTTAAAAAATTCATAATACAAAAGATAGAAACACATTTTAACTAAAAATTAGTTTTGTTTAAAATTTCACTGAATTTAATTAGCGCCCCTCACTTTAAAAAAAACATATAGAATTACAACTATTAATTACAAATAAAGAATCAATTATAATAATTTTTTTGGGTACACGGAATTACTCGAAGTAATAATAGTATATTACCAAAAAAAAATTCCATTTGGACTAATTTTAACAAATTAATAATTTTATAGTTTTTTAGGTATTTGATGGCCAAAGATCAAGGGAGAAGGTAGGAGAGGGTGCGTGGCAACGTGATCAACGAATAGTTTTGCAGATAAAGACTAGAACATTGCGGGTCCATTTTAAAGTGGCGCCAAAATTGTGAATTTACACAGAAAAAAAGAAAAGAAAATATTCATAAGGATGCATGCAAAAGCTATTAAAATATTTGAATACCCTATTCATATAAAGATAACTTTAATAACACAGCATTGTAAATCCAATCTCAAAGAAGCTAAGAAAAACTGTCTTCAAAGACTCGGGAGTAAACAGAAAACAGTGCAGGCAGATGAGTGACTCAAATTAAAATCAATATTCCTAGTTGTCCACATTTTACTCTTCAATTGTCCCCTTCTCGCTAACATAGATACCATCAAGGAACTTCCGGATATCTTTGTTTTTAACATGGCATTTCTGTTGCAATCAAGGAGGGATAATATTTTAAAAACAAAAAAGAAATCCAATTAATTATAATCTAAGAGAAAAAATGGAACAAGGTTGGACTGTGTGCGTGTGTATAAAGAAAGTTAAAGAACTGCGAACCTGGTTAATGAGGGCACAGGAGCGGGAAACGAGCTCAATGTCATTTCCATCCAAAATCAATTCATCCTTGACCTTTTCAGATCGACCAACAGAAACACCTTCAAGCATGTCCACTTTCCTCACCTAAGTACATGACATCCAAATAAACATTTCAATTTAAAAAAAAAACTAATCTATCACCTGAAGTTTATGTCTATCTTTCTGTGCCAACCCATTGCATAACAAAGCATTTTGCATTTACATGCACCAGCAATATCACACTCAACCCCGTAAGATATAAATAGAACAGCAAAAGACACAATACTGAAATAGAATAAAATAGGAAATGAAAATGCATCAATACCAAAAGAATATAACTACTGGTAAGATCAGGGAATATGTGGAATTGAGCAATCACAAGAGCTAATACAATATGGAATTCCCCAATCAAAACAATTCATAACGCAGACACAGAAAGCAATGGCTTACAAAGATCAATTCAGAGATATTCATACCACCACTCTACCAAATGTATTAGAAATTAATTGTTTCAAAAATGTACCCCAATAACAATGTACATCAAACGACAATAATTGGAAATTAAGTACACATAACAAATCAAGCAAGCTGCTGATGACTAGATTGAATGACTAAAGTAACAACCCCTGAAATTACTATATGTAAAATCATAACAAATTTTGAAACCACAAACAAACAGCTATAAACTATGATCAACCCTCAGATAATGAGGCATTCATTACCGAAATGATGAAACAAAAAGAAAGTAAAAATAAAATAACATAAAAACTTGTATTGCAGGGGAAGCACCTTCTTTTCACCAAGGAAATTTCGGATCTCGATGGAGGCGTTGTTATTGGTGATGCTAGCGTTGATTGGAAAGTGAGCATAGACAAAACGCATCTTGTAGCGGTAACCCTTGGTGACACCGGTGATAAGATTCTCGATGTGAGAAATGGCAGTGCGAATGAGAGCGGTGGTCTTGCGAGTTCCGAACCAGGATTCGATCTTAAGCTTCCTCTTGCCGTCTTCGTCAGTGAAGAGCTGAAAATCGAGCTTCATGTGCTTGAAATCTTTAACCAGCTTTCCACGAGAACCCTCCACCTCGACCACCTTCGCATGCACCTTGATGCTCACCCCCTCAGGGACGTCCATCGACTCCGAAGAATAAATCACCTTCATGGTTCCCCTCCCCTTTCTCTCTCTCTCTCTCTCTCTCTCTACTTCTCTATGTGACGGTGATAGCAGATTAGGGTTTTTGAAACCCTATATATATAACGGAGACGGAAGGGGTAGGTCTTGACATTGGGCCGTGGCCCGTGGCCCGTAGTTCCTTGTTATATTATTTATCTCTGTTATTTAAATATTAAAAACTTTAATATAAAGTCTTAACTCTGACTGTATATTGCAATTATTTGTTTCAATAATTTGAATTTTTTTATAATTTTATATAAAGCTTTCACATCTGATATACATATTTTGTCATGATTTACATATTATTATGCTTTTATTTGAAGTTTTTTATATCCACATTTAAAATTTATAATCACCCTTGTGATTATAATATTTAGTGTTGAATTTCTACCACATAAATAATTATCCGTATAAGTTATGAGTTCACTTTTTTTACAGTCAATATAGATAATTTATCTACAGTAAGCCCAAAACGACGTCGTTTTGAGACGAAAATCAAGATATTTTTGTAATTATAATTTATTTCGGGGTTATAATAGCCTTTTTCATTATAATTTTTTAATTTTTCAACGCAAAACGACATCGTTTTGGAAGCGAATATAGATAACTTATCTACATTCACTTTAGAAACATTAAAGCCATAAGTTATATTAATAAGATTTTTTAAAAAAGATTTCTTCCTTTTTTTGAAGACAATATTTGCCCCGTAAATTAAATAGTAATACCTCTTTATGTCAAATTTTCAGCCTCATGTAATGTATATGTTTACCTGCGATTTATATATTAATAATTTATATATTAATATACTTTTGTGTAAAGCTTCTATTATTAGGTAAAATTTTAACTCATATATTTTAAAAATTATACAATTTAATATAAGGCATTTATCACTATATGATTTAAATATTTATGCTTGTAATTCATATATATATATATATATATATATATATATATATATATATATATATATATATATATATATATATTTATATAACGCGAACTTTGTTTAAAGCAAATATTTATTTCTACAAGTACATTTTGTAAATATTTGATTAAAGTGATTAAGTAAGAGAAAAAACTATTGACAAAAATAATTATAGAGATAAAAAAACTCCCAATCATATTAGTATAATATTATCATTTTGAAAGTAAAAGATATAATCATAAGTTATGTTCTGCACTGGTTTCATAGGCCCAATGTGCTGTCCATTATAGTTTATTATTGGGGCTTAATCCTTACACCTCCAAGCATAGGGGTCCAAGTGATAAAAGAATAAACACAAGGGGTTTATGAACTTTTTTCTTTTTTTTCGATAAACAAGAGGGTCAAAGCCCAAAAACAAGAAAACAAGAAAGAAAGCGACAAAATCAGCACACACAAAAAAACCTACACCCCTATTGGATGGTCATTGCCCTAGGCCTACCCACAGCTCCAAGATCAGCAAGATAGAGAAGTTGAGTCCCGGGAGGAGGCTCACCACTAACAAATTCATGGATTCCTTCGTTGTTGCTTGAGATGATGAAGTTAAATTAAATGCAAAAAAAATTATTATGTTAATATCTCTCTATCCTTATCTTGATTTATTGCTTTGAGTTAATTTTTAATTAACAAATTATTTTAATAAAACTCAATTCACACCTCTCTTGAGTTCATCTGGAAGGAACACTTTGTAGACATCACTATCCACATATCTCATATTAACTATGATCCCCTTGGATCAAGCAAATTGTTAAGAAATATAAAATTTTGCACAAGAGTGTGATAGACAATGTAACCTCATACGCAAGCAATAAACTAGCTAGCTAAAAAAAACAAAGAACAACAAGGGAGGACAAATATGAATTTATATTGATCTTTTCTTAACTGAGTATTAGATTATGTGATTTTGTGTTGCATATGATGGCATGATAGTTTCCCTCTTTCTCATACATACAATATATATAAATCTAAATAATAATTATAAATTGTACATAATCTTAGCACTCCACGAAAATAGCTCCAATAAAGGTGACTTAATTTTTCTTTTGTCTGAAAAATATCAATGTTGATAGTAGTAAATCCTGAATTATAAATAAATAAAAATAAAAATTGAAAAAGCCCCAACACCCTAAGAACAAAGAACAATGTCAAATACATTTAATTCGGTGTTCTAATATTTAATATTAACTGTTTGGATATCTTCTTATGAGAATGGAAATTAACTCCTCCAGCACTTTGCTCCAGTCAACTCAAGAGCTAGTTAACGGAAATTAAAGTATCCGAGTTATTTTTCTTATTAGTTGCATTCGTGATCTCTCCGAGTATTCTTTTATGTTAAAAAAAAAAATGACATGATCATATGAGATAATCATAATCATACAAATGTGAATTAACGGTTATAATTTAATAATTACATATTTTAATATTTTTCTCTTTCATCTTTTATCATCATTGATCCAGCTTTATATGATTACAATTACGCATATGACATTGTCATATCTTTTTCAACATAAGAAAATTCACTCTCATGATCTCCCACAGATATTTGGTGGCTTGGGTTAGTGCGAGCTTTTAAATAGGCAAATAAGTCTATTGATGGTTTTCATCATTGAAGCCATAATAATGATTTCTTTTCTTCTTCTTTATTTTTTTTTTTTTTATTTTTTTTTTTTTTTTGTGAATTCATTATGATGATTTTAGTTTCAAGATATATCTATGCTGCTGCTCTTCCAGTTTGCGTAGCTTGGACTCTAAAAGATGTTGCTGCTAGAGTCAAAGTCAGCACAATGTTTACTTTGCTTGTTTCATATTTCCCTTTGTTAGTTTTTGCCCTATTCATCAATCAAAAACACAATAAAATGTTTAGTTGAAAAAAGGAAAGATCGGATAACAATGAAATCAAACAAATTTATACCACAATACAAAAATAAGATACGCTCCGGAATATATTATAACCTTGTTATGAGTTATGACACTTCGTTGTGACACTGTTGGAATAATGATGGCCAATGATCGAAACAAAATTTACACAACAACAATTAATAGTATTTCTATTCATATGTAGCACAATCATAACTAATATATCAATAAAATAAAAAGAAAGTGAGAAAAAAAAAGTAGAAAATAAACGAAATAGAAGAACCTGATAATCATAAATGTGGTAAGCATAAAATGTATTATCAAGTTTATCATAAAATAATTTGAAACTTGAAAAATATGTTATATAAATAATGTTGGCAGTTGATTTGTAATATTTATTACAACAGAGAAATCAAATAAATATGAGTTGATATAGACATAATTGATTGAGATTATATAAGATTATTATTTAATTACTTGAAATAGATTGAAATCCATATACACCTAATTACTTGAGAATTATATTAATTAATTAAGATAATTATAAATAATAACAATGATTAAAGATTACGTTGGATTATGTAAGATTACTTGAGATTGCTTGAAATTGACGTGTATGCAGGCAAACAACTAAATAAAATATAGGAGTTCCATCAGGACAAATCACATTCTGTAGATGAATGTGACAAATTAATTGATACATGTAAGTTATATTTACAAAACATGATCCATAATTTTTATAGTTAAAATTATTTATAAGTAATCTTATAGACAACCGTTGCATTAAATTACATAGCTTTATTGTCAGATTGATAAAAACATATTACTTGGAGGAGAATCGCTGACTACAAGTCACTTTCTTATGCGTGTAACATTTACGCACCCAACTTCAATATATTATATGGATGTGAATGCAGTTACAAAAATTAGAAAACTACAAGTTCCAAACAGCATGCAACAAAGGAGAGAGAAGTGTTATTTAAAAATATAATTACTCAGATGCAGCATTAATAACAAAAATTTATGTGAAACTGGAATATCACCTGTTCCATTGTGGCATTAACCCCATAATGAACTTCCTTTCTTGATAAAGCTTTCAAGGCAGCAACGAAGCATTGGACCTACTAAGCACACAGAATGTTGAAGACAAGGGGGAATAATTTAACATAATACACAAATATCTTTAAATACAGAACTAGGTAAACTAGTTTTAAGGAATGGAAACATACCTTCTCAACGACAGATGTCAGCTTGAAAGTTAGATACAATCCAGTGGTCAGTGATGAAAAGAGACTGCCATAATCCCTGTTCAAGAAAAACCGGTACCAAACTGGGGTTGGCAACAAGGCATGATACAACAGCAGTGTGTACTCAACCAGAGTTAACATTTGAGCCTAGAAATAAGTTAGATGATTTCAGTTGTTGTAGCAGTAAATTATACTTGAAAATTACATGCTTGTTGTATATGGAAGACGCTAATCACCTGCTGACTGAAGGTATGACCTTTGCCATTTTTGTAATATATAAGCAGGAAACACTGGAAAGCCATTGCAGCTTGCCGCGTCAATGTATCTGAAAATCAATGTATATGGTGACCATGAATACCAATAAAAATTAGAATGACTAAAGGCGACAAAAATACCAATATAAAAGGATAGATGGGACACAAAGAAACAATCAATTAAGACAAAAGTAAAGTATAATGATACAACTATCTCCAAAAAAAAAAAAGTATATTGATACAACTCAAGAGATGCAGAAAGATATCGCTCATTATCAGCGTCAAATGATAAGTCAAATGTTGAAGCAATAAATAGCCAGAAAAAAACTGTCTCCAAAACAATATTAAATGAAAGAAAACTACCAAACTATGGCGACACTAACAATCAGTTTGGGTAAATATTGAGCATTTTATGGAACACCAAAAGGCAGATCTTGGATCAACATTGAAAACACAGATCTAATATTGTCATCAATTCATTGGTGTTCCAACAAGTTCTCTGTGTGGCATAAAGGAATAAACCTTTTGAGAGAAAAATTCAAAACGGACTGGCAACAGATATTATTCCTCAATTTATGTGACAGTATCAATTCTACTGAAGGGTTCCAGGTCTCAGCTCACACTTGACAGATGACACCAGATAAAACATGCATAGCTTTTAGAATAAGCTATTTCAATTTTCATAGAAGCACTTATTTCAATAGTTCATCAATTGGGCTGGAAGTGAGTAGAACAGAAACTTCACAGTTGAGATCTTGAGATCATGTCTCCCTACAGCAAATCTGGATCTACAACACGATTTCAGTTAACATTCCTTCTTTCCTTAGATGTATTGACATGTGTATTGTGAAAGTGATCAAGCAATGACAGTTGATATCATGCAAAGGAAACTTTGTCCTTATGCAAAAAGGAGGCTACAATAGGACAAAACTGTTAACTTTATCCTGAAACAATTATAATTCAATTCCTATTCCACCCAATAATTAAATATAGAAAATCCGTTTACCAAAAAAATAAAATAATATAGAGAATCTGTTCTACTGTACCCTGTCTACACATAAGACATTGATGAAAATATTCAAAATAGAAATGAGTTACAAAACAACAAAAAGGAAGGTTTCAATTTCATCGTTAGTGATAAATAAAACAGCTGCAATATTGTGCTGAAAATTTAAAACCCTTGCATATATATGCCAAGCATTCAGGGTTTCCCCTAGATTGCATAACTATTTCTACGGAGCTTTCTCTTTATAGTAATCATAAACTATGGACATGCATTTATGTCACTATGTAAATTAGAATAAATAAAAGTTCAAGCATAAATCCACGGTAACAACTGAACAGTGCATAAACAGAACAAGTCCATACCATTAACCAAGATGATGAATATTGCAGGCCAGAAAGGTGTTGCTCTTGGAGGAAGCATGACCAGTGGGTATAAAAGATCATCATTTCGATACCACCAGTAAATGCACATCACGTGAAGCATGAAAGCAAAGAGCAATGCCAATAAGGATAGACACTTTCCTGATAAAACTAGTGTTGGCCTCTGGTTTATTTGGTATTAGGGGTAGGGGGTTTAACTAATAGAAACTTGGTTTAGGAATGGAAATTTTAAAGGATTATCAAAGATATGTGTAAAGCACCTTTAAAGCTGTCTGCTTCTTAACAGTTTCATTTGATTTGAACCTCACAGCTGATATCCAAATTATGACAAAGAAACCTGGAAGTTCTCAGAAATGAATATCATCAAACAATAAGGAAAAAAAGACCAAAAGCACGAATTAGAGGAAACTTAAACTAAATGTGAGAAGCAGTGCATTACACACCTCTCCGAGGAAGAGGTTGCAAATAAGAAAAGACACAATCACAACTTACATGAATGTAAGGTAGAAAACAAACCACATACTGATTTTCATTTAGTGAAGCTTTCACATTATCAACAAAGGATCTCTATAGAAACACATGGCATGAACATCACAGCTTCGTTAGCTCTACAAAATTTGTCTTTACCTTTCTCACAATTAGCATATATCATACAACAGAAACAATTTTGAATCTTCCCAATATTTTATTTTTAACAACTGGAAAAACTAATAACAAGTAAAAAGCAAACCAAGGGAAATTCACAGTGCCAATCCTATGATTTCATTGGAGTACCCTAGGAGGAGTTTTTGAAGCCAAAACTAACATTATAGACATAACATGAGATAACCAATGAATCAGAACACAAGTGAATATCATACCTCTATGGTAGTCAAGTCACTAATACGAGACATGAGACATGTGATTACCTGAACTAAAAATTCGTAGTCACTAAATGCATTTTATAAGGACTAAGTTGAGCACTCTTGCAGTCAAAAAGAAGCGTTCGCAAATTTCTAACAGATTGCGATTCAATTTTGGGAACTGTTCTTTTTAACAGCAAGAGTGCTCAAATATAGTGATGGTTAGCAATAGCAAATATTGAAGTCAACAGTTAACAGTCATTTTTAATGAAGGTCAACAATATCAAGAACCACAGGAACCCAAATGAATCTTGCAGTACAAAACGCATAGCTTCTTCGCTAACAACCGACGAGGTAATGGGAGATAGATTTGGCGGCGGCGGCTTCGAAACCTCAACGACCTCTAGCGGATGTGGAGAACATTCTCATCGAAAAAATCTTCCGCGTTTCGATGAAAACGCAGCTGAACCCTCTTCCCTTCACTAAGAATCTCAGCGGCGGTTTTGAGGAAGATTTTTCGAGTGATTTTTGTGGAGTATGTACAGCACGTATAAATTATATTTACAAACTTTTATAAACTATATTATATTTTTTTGGAGAATACAAATTTTTACAAATTACATTATGTTCATCTAAAAAAATACAGTGTAGATTATAAATTTTTTTTAAAAAGTTTGTAAATAGATATAAATATTAGTTCATGGGTTCAGCAAAATTTGGCCAAAATGGTACAAGTAAAAATGGTGTTTTAATTTTCGAAAAAAAAAAAAAATGGTGTGTTAATTGGGTGTGCCAGTCCTCCTGCTGAAATTTTTTTATCTGTTACATTCGCATAATAATAGTTAATAAATTTATGTAGGGGTTTATTTTTTCTACAATTAATATAGATAAATTATTTACATTGACCTTAAAACAATGTCGTTTTGAGACAGAAATCAAGATATTTTTAAAATTATAATTTATTTCAGAATTATAATAGTCTTTTTTATTATAATTTTTTAACCCAAAATAACATTGTTTTGATTATGAGGGTGGCCGAGAAAAAATTTATGCAACAATAATATAAATATTTTTTCTATTTTAATTTGGCCAAAATGGTGTTGCGTTTTTTATGACCTCTTTTGTCAAGTATAAATTTGTATATAAAACATATAATATTATTACGAAGAAGTTATATTTACAATCTCTTTTTACTTATAATTTCTTATAATCAAATCTTAATAATTAGTTTCTACTAATATAATTTATTGAGTTATATTTATTAATTAATTATTAATTTTCAATAAATTATACTCTTAGATTAATAGTTAAAATTTAGTTATAAAAGATTGTAAGCAAAAAGGGATTATAAATACAATCTCTCTTTATTATTAAATATAAAGAAAATTGTGGGCGTAGGTCTCATGACATGTAGCACTTCTATATTAAATTTATTCGATCATTTAGCATGTATATGTCTTAGACACTATCAATTTAATGATCTAATTATAGAATGAATTGGAAATAAGACAAATTAAACTTTATACTTATTCGGAGTCCCAGTTTATTTAGTTAATTTTAGAAAGGTATGCCTAATTATTCAGTTAGCTAATATATTATAGGGAGTTACTAATCTCATGTTGCTTGAGATAGTTCTCTCATGTGTGTGAGATAAATATATGGGGTCCACACTTTAAAACAAAAGGAAAAAGAAATGGAAAAAGCTGGCACAAAATTCAATGAGTGTATAATATGAGAGAGCTATCTCCAACGAAATGAGAAAAATATTTCCCTATATTATATGCTGAAACAATTCCAGTGTTTTATACTTACTAAAATTAGTTCATTCATGAAATCTGATTTGACCTACAATTGATTCAGCAACTCTAGTAGTATACATAGATTCAAATTTTAAAATTGAAAATTAGTTATTTAATTCATTAATTAGTTAATTGCATCTAGTAAAATTGGCAGCAGATCCTCGTGTCAAATTAGGCTAAAAAAATCTGTTTTGATCTCGTGTCAAATTAGGTTAAAAAATCTGTTTTAATTGTAAAAAGTCGATTTATATTACTGAGATGCATATACAATTAATTTATGTTTCATTCATCACCAATTTGTTCAATACTAAAACCCACACTAATCCAAATTTATTGGCTTAATCTAACACCATTTCTCATATTTTAATTGATGCCCAATTTTGAAGGTTGCTTCTGGTTTGTTGAGAAAATACCATTGTAACATTACTCTTTCATGTCAATCTCCTTTAGCTCACGTGATAATGATATTTGCAAGTTGCTACGAACTTTAGTTTATTGTCTTATATATTGCAAATTAACAAATTAAACAAAAACATGTGCGTAACTTTATCTGGTAAATATAAGTGTGTAAATTCAAATGTGCAGAAAGCATTCCTTCTCTTCATGCTACAAAAATTATGTCAGAAAGATTCAGCAGCATTATCAAATCTATAGATACATCTCTATAATTGGATAACATACATTGATGCCTAAAAGAAAAAAGACATGCACACTCACCAAAAGCATCCAAATCCAAATTTCATATAGTAAAAATATCAATTTCAGCACTTCCAAGTGCATGAACAACTCAGTTGACATATTTGCATAAAGCCTGTGTAGATACATATACATACTTTAAAAAGGGAGTGGGAGAGGGAGATGAATTTCAAAAGGATGTGACATTATGAACAAGTTTGTGTTTATCATTTACTGAGATATGAGGAATATAAAATATCAGGTTAGTGGGATCCCCTCGGGTTTGAGTAGCTGGCAGCTTGCACATCTGACCTCATTACAAGAGAACATGAATTTTTAAGCCATATCTTTGATGAGTCCCTACAATTTCATTTCCTAGGAATTGATTGATGAAATATCTTACCAAATCAGAGCACTAAACATGATGATTTTTTGGTAGAGGTTGGCTCAAAGCTATGATCCAACCCAAAGTTCGCGAGTTTAAAACAACTGGAAAAATAGACTTGTTGATCCATCTCCAAAGGTCCGAAGATCAGCAGGTTTAACCAATGCTCTGCATAGTGGGCAAGTCCTTTCTCTCTCAAACCTGAAAAGAAAAGTGCCTTTGTTGGTCATGAATAAGATCATGAGCAAATCATAATACAATTTAAATGATTTGTATATAAGTCAAAAACATAATGTATACTTCCTTCTTATACTTAGCTCGGGCTAGTTTTCGCATCAACCGAGACTAAGTTTCTCCTCAAGGGCACACTCCCTACATCAGCCTGATGCATCTAGGAGAATTAATTCTCCTAGGTGTTGGCTTGGGATTTGAACCCGATTAATTTAAATATTTGACAAATATCCAGGTGGCACGAATAAAACATTTGATAAAATGAAAGTTCCACAGTTGGTGCAAACCAGTACTTCTGGTCATTAGTTCATAAGAAGACTGTAATTGGATGCATAATATAACCAAATGCATAATTTTTCTTGGAGGCATATATAGGTACCTTTGTAGGTCAAGAGAGAAGTCATAAATATGACTACGAGCAAATCAAAATACAATTTAACTAACTCTTATACAAGAAAACATGTAAGAGAGATTCAAACCATTAGCCAAAATCAACATTTTCGTGAGAACCTTTTATAAAGAGTATGGTATTCTTGAAAATTAAATAGTGGGAACTTACGGGAAACTCTCCTAGTTGATTACTAGTCTACCCTAAACAATTATCTACTGGCTTTCAGAATCAGAACGTATCTGATTTTTTCTTAAATATAGTGAACTTTTCAAATAAAAAAAATAAATTGTAAATGAGGAATAAAATTATGAACTCACCACTCTGATACACACTCTTCGCAAAAAATGTGTTTACAGCGCAACAAGATAGGGGTATGCATCTTCTCCTGGCATATAGCGCATAGGTCACCAGCAGCATTAACCTGTGTTCAATACTTAGAATTTAGAATCATATTTAAAAAAATTGCCCAATAAAAATCTACAATAACATATACTAGCATTTACACAGTTTTCCATCCTTAAATATAAAGAAACTCCATTGGAAAGGAATAATTGTAAAAGAAAAAGACAGAAGACAGCATCCAATAACAAAAGGCCAAAAGCAAACATTACGCAGAACATAACCATATCTATGTTACAAAGCTCTCCAGCTCCCCTGCATATCACATAATGAATCCCCATGAAAGTAGCCATCAACCAAGCACTATCCATTAGTAAATGCAAAGATAGGAATTTATCTTTGAAAATTCTAACACTTCCCTTCAGCCAAAGATTCAATAAAACTGCAAACAAAGCACATTGACATAAAGTTCATCCCACTGCATATCACATAAAAAATACTAGTGAAAGTAGCCATTGACCAGAACCATAGAAATGCCAAGAAGACAACTATGTCCAATAAAAAATACAAAGGCAAGAATTTATCCTTGAAAATTTTAACATTTCTCTTCTGCCATATATACAATAAAACTGCAAATAAGGCATATTTCCATAAAGCTCATCTTCCCTTACTCCTAAAAAAACCTCAAAAATGATTTGGCAGAATTTGCTCCAAATTTTGAAAGACAAGCTCAAGATTCTCAAAAGACGCCAAATATATAGTTGAGTAGACCAACAAATAATGGCTATGGAGAGTAGAGAGGAAAAGCAATAAACAAATAAGAACATTCACAAAAATCTTGTCCTTCATTCCCTAGGATTTTGAATATTTTCAGAAATTTTCAAGGAAAATAAGGGAGACGAATAGAGCATGCTACCATCATAGAACTGGAGCGCAGGTAGGTAGAACAACAAATCTTTATTACAGAAAATCACTCTGACAATTAACAATGTGATACAAAACCAGAGATCCAGAACGATACAGTGAAAATTCTCTCCCTCTCTAGCTCCCAGGTATTTGAGAGTCCTGGTTCTCTCCCTTCCAATTTCCTTCTCAAGACTCTCAACTGACTCTATTTACTCCCCCTACTTTTATTACTGCATAAAAGTAGTTATTCTGTTATTAAAAGAGTTGAGTCCTAATCCCCTACTAACCCTTTTTTCCCCTAACCTGGACCGTTTTATTTTGTTGCTGCTAACAGATCCTTCTCCATTTCATCCATAAGAATGATGTACAACACAGCCACCGCGTGCAGGCAAACAACTAAATAAAATATAGAAGTTCCATCAGGACAAATCACATTCTGTGAGATGAATGTGATAAATTAATTGATATATGTAAGCAATATTTACAAGACATGATCCATAATTTTTATAGTTAGAAAATATTTATAAGTAATCTTATAGACAACCGTTGCATTAAATTACATAGCTTTATTGTCAGATTGATGAAACATATTACTTGAAGGAGAATCGCTGACTAAAAGTCATTTTCTTATGCATGTAACATTTACCCACCCAACTTCAATATATTATATGGATGTGTATGCAGTTACAAAAATTAGAAAACTACAAGTTCCAAACAACATGCAACAAAGAAGAGAGAAGTGTTTTCTAAAATATAATTACTCAAATGCAGCATTAATAAATTTTTTGTAACTGAAACTGGAATATCACCTGCTCCATTGTGGCATTAACCCCATAATGAACTTCCTTTCTTGATAAAGCCTTCAAGGCAGCAACGAAACATTGGACCTAAAGAAGCACACAGAATGTTGAAGACAACCAAGGGAATAATTTAACATAATGCACAAATATCTTTAAATACAGAACTAGGGAAACTAGTTTTAAAGAATGGAAACATACCTTCTCAACTACAGATGTTAGCTTGAAAGTTAGATACAATCCAGTGGTCAGTGACGAAAAGAGACTGCCATAATCCCTGTTCAAGAAAAACCGGTACCAAACTGGGGTTGGCAACAAAGCACGATACAACAGCAGCGTGTACTCAACCAGAGTTAACATTTGAGCCTAGAAATGAGTTAGATTATTTCAGTTGTTGTAGCTGTAAACTATAATTGGAAATTGCATGTTTGTTGTATATGGAAGACACTAATCACCTGCCGACGGAAGTTATGACCTTTGCCATTTTTGTAATATATAAGCAGGAAACACTTGAAAGCCATTGCAGCTTGCCGTGCCAATGTATCTGAAAATCAATGTATATGGTGACCATTAATACCAATAAAAATTAGAATGACTAAAGGCCACAAAAAACCAATATAAAGGGATAGATAAGACACAAAGAAACAATCAATTAAGACAAAAGTAAAGGATAGTGATACAACTATCTATAAAAGAATAGTATTTTGATACAACTCACGAGATCCAGAAAGATATAGCTCATTATCAGCATCAAATAATAAGTCAAACGTTGAAGCTAATAAATGGCCAGAAAAAAACTGTCTCCAGAACAATACTAAATGAAAAAAAACTACCAAACTACAACAGTAACACTACCAATCAGTTTGGGTAAATATTGAGCATTTTATGGAACACCAAAGGACTTCAAGTGTGCACATGCTGGAAGACTCAGATCTTGGATCAACATTGAAAATACAGATCTAATATTGTCATCGATTCATTGGTATTCCAACAAGTTTTTCTGTGTAGCATAAAGGAATAAACCTTTTGAGAAAAAAATTGCAACCGGACTGCCAACATATATTATTCTTCAATTTATGCGAGAGTATCAATTCTACTTAAGGTGGGGGGTTTCCAGGTCTTAGCTCACACTTGACAGATGACACCAGATAAAACATGTATAGCTTTTAGAATAAGCTATTTCAAATTTATTTTTGTGTTCTGAGACTCAATTTTGATAGAAGCACTTATTTCAATAGTTCATCAATTGGGCTGGAAGTGAGTAGGATAGAAATTTCACAGTTGAGATCTTGAGATCATGTCTCCCTACAGCAGTTCTGGATCTATAACATAATTTCAGTTAACATTCCTTTTTTCCTTGGATGTATTGACATGTGGATTATGAAAGTGATCAAGCAATGACAGTTGACATCAGGCAAAGGAAACTTTGTCGTTATGCAAAAAGGAGGCTACAATAGGACAAAACCGTTAACTTCATCCTGAATCAATTTTAATTCTATTCCTATTCCACCCAATAATTAAATATAGAGAATCCGTTTCACTGTACCCCGTCTACACATAAGACATTGATGGAAATATTCAAAATAGAAAGAGTTACATAACAACAAAAAGGAAGGTTTCAATTTCATTATTAGTGATCAATAAAACAGCTGGAATATTGTGCTGAAACTTTAAAACCCTTGCATATATATGTCAAGCATTAAGCGTTTCACCTAGATTGCAAAACTATTTCTATGGAGCTTTCTTTTTATAGTAATCATAAACTATGGACATACATTTATGTCACTGTGTAAATTAGAATAAATAAAAGTTCAAGCATAAATCCACGGTAACAACTGAACAGTGCATAAACAGAATAAGTCCATACCATTAACCAAGATGATGAATATGGCATGCCAGAAAGGTGTTGCTTTTGGAGGAAGCATGACCAGTGGGTATAAAAGATCATCATTTCGATACCACCAGTAAATGCACATCACGTGAAGCATGAAAGCAAAAGCAATGCCAATAAGGATAGACACTTTCCTATCTCCCTGCAAAATAAAACTAGTGTTAGCCTCTCATTTAGCTAATAGAAACTTGGTTTAGGAATGGAAATTTTAAAGGGTTAGCAAAGATATGGGTAAAGCACCTTTAAAGCTGTCTGTTTCTTAACAATTTCATTTGATTTGAACATCACAGCTGATATCCAAATTGTGACAAAGAAACCTGGATGTGATCAGAAATGAATATCATCAAGTAATAAGGGAAAAAAAGATCAAAAGAAGAAATTAGAGGAAACTTAAACTAAATGTCAGAAGCAGTGCATTACGCACCATCTCTGAGGAAGAGATTGCAAATAAGAAAAGACGCAATCACAACTTACATGAAAGGTAGAAAGCAAACTGCATACTGATTTTCATTAAGCGAAGCTTTCAAATTATCAATAAAGGATCTCTATTGAAACAAATGGCATGAACATCATAGCTTAGTTAACTCTACAAAATTTATCTTTACCTTTCTTACAATTAGCATATATTATTGTAACACCCCAAATTTCATATAATAGAGATAACCTAAACACCTAGGGATTAGGATTACATCCAAGTTTTATTAGTATTATTAATTTATTGTATTATAAATTACTATTATTTTCCTGGGATATTACATTCTACCCTCCTTAAAAGAAGTTTCGTCCTCAAAACTTAAAAGTTTGAGCTTCTCAATTAAACTAAAAGACATAAGGTTAAAGTTAATAAAAATATGGGGTATTACAATTATACAACAGAAACAATTTTGAATTTTCCCAATATTTTATTTTTAACAATGGAAAAACTAATAACAAGTAAAAAGCAAACCAAGGGAAATGCACAGTGCCAATCTATGATTTCATTGGAGTACCCTAGGAGGAGTTTTTGAAGCCAAGATCAACATCATAGGCATAACATAACATAACCAATGAATCAGAACACAAGTGTTTATACCTTGCAAATGCTGTCGGATGAAAACAACCACCAACAAGAGCGAGAAAGGAAGAATTTGCTCAATCCACTTGGCAATTTGCTGAATATCATACCTCTGGTAGGATGATGAATCCCTACTGTTACCATTCCCAGCAGCATCACCACCAACCTGTCCACTACCAGCCAATGGTGAAGACGAAGACACCAAAGGAACCCTCTCACCAACAGCATTTCTACCACGACCCCCAGCATCATCATCATCATCCAATGCAGGCATTCCACCTCTATCATCCATCAGATCATCACAATCATCATGCCCCACTTCTCCAAGCTGATTCTGATCATGCTCTCCAGCTCCAATGATCCTTATTGCAACTTCCCCTGCACTGTTCCCAGCATCAGCAGCAGCATCAAACGACCCAGTTTGAAGCTGAGACCTTAATTCCGAACCAGGAACTCCATTGTTGACAATCACAGCCTCAGAATCATGGGGTGAGCGTAGAATGCCAGAGTAATCCAACAAAAAGGAAAGTGGAGAACGAAAGGGGCTAACAGAGGGCAACCTCATCCCATACCAGGGACCAGTGCCAACACTGCTATTACTATTACTGTTACCATTGTTATCATTACTATTAACACCTCCAGATGATGATGATGATGATGATAAATTAGGAGAAATGGTAGCGTACTGGTCTGAATTAGCATCCAAATTTTCCATCTTTGGCACAACACCAAAAAACCCTAATCTTCACTTTACCTCTTCTGTTTGATCTTTCCTCTGTTTCTGCTATTTTCTAATTTGGGGTTTGATCACAGATATTAAAAAAACAATTTTTACCCTGCCCCTTTAAGGGGATGAAGCTAATTGTGAGAGAGGAAGAGAAAACAAGGTGAAAGGGGATGAAAATGGAAGGGAACGAATGAAGAAGAGAAGTTGGAAGCATTAGCTTTATATCTTACCTGATAGATTGTGAATTAAGCAAATGGAAAAAAAGGAAGAAGCTTTGGAAATGGAACTGAGAAATGGGTCAATGGTCAAGAGGATTAGAGCTCAAAACAGCAATGGTTGCAGAAAATGAATAAGATGATGACGACGAAGGTGAAGGAGAGTACAGGAGAAAAGTCAAAGTCAGGAACTGTTGTTTTGCCTGCCTTTTTCTTTCTTTATCTTTGAGCGCGTGGAGTGTGTATGTGAATGCATGACAGAAAAACGCAAATAATTCGTAGTTCTGAAAATTTCATTAATTAGAATACGATGGTGGTTCATTTGATGTATGAGAGTGAAATAATTGAGATGAGATAATCTGTTTGATCATTTTTTTTTTATTATTTTTGAAAAAAATTTAAATTTTTAATCATGAATCTGTCTCAAATTGAACTAATCCCAAATAATAAAGGATTCGTTTTTTCTACGTCAATGTAGATAACTTATCTATATTGAGCTTAGTTATCTACATTGAGCTCAAAACGATATCGTTTTGAAGCGAAAATCATGATATTTTTATAATTATAAGTTATTTCAGGGTTATAATAGTCTTTTTATTATAATTTTTAAATTTTTCAACCCAAAACAACGTCGTTTTAGCAGCAAATATAAATAACTTATCCACGTCACTTTAAAAACATTAAAGCCAATAATAAATTATTGAAATATTTCCAATTTATTTATTTTATTAATTGCTAATCTTACACTAAATAAATAGTCTAAGATTATTCAGGATTAGGTTTGCTTACATTGTATGATTATATATTTATGAGCCAATTTTATTTTTGTTTTTCATGAACTAATAATTGTCATTATTAATATTGAGATATTAAAAAGTGGTGATTTATATGAAAGACTATAGTTGTGTCTTGTGTGTGAAGTAGAATGTTTTACGCTCACCAACTAATAAATATGTTAGGTTGGTAACGGCGACGTAGTGATGATATTTTAGGATACGAAAATCCTTAAATAATCATATCAAATAATTGTGATAACTTAACTGAAATAATTGATGTTTTGTTGGTAGACGTAGCGAGGTAACTGATAGAGAAACGCGTGCAAATAGACATTTTCAGATTCTTTTCTTCCCTTTGTCATTCCAACAAAATGAAAAGCCATGATTCACCCTTTTTTTTATTTATTTAATCAATCACCTCTTTTGTTTTTTATTTAATTTTTTTAACAAGAAGGGAAAAACTCCAAAATATAAAATTGATAATTTTATAGTATATCATTTAATATATTTCTTTAATTAAAATTGAAGGAGGGACAATACATCATCTTTCTATATATGTTAATAAATAAACGTTAATAATTTTGCGTTATATTTTTCAATCATGATTCAACTGAGAGAAAGTAGTAGAGAAAAATATAAAATTTAGTGATAAAGTAGCCGTGCAATAGTGGTTTATACGTAGATTTCTATAGTAGCATAGAAGAATTTCAGTGATCCCGATCAACATTTATTCAGTGGTCTAGACCAATCAAAATCATATAACTAATAAGGAAAGAGGAGAGAGAAAAAATAAAAAATAATTTTTTTTGTCCAAATATCACTTTTTAAATGAAAAAATCACATGGAGGCGTGAAGAAAAAAAAAATATTCCCACCAATACGTTATACACAAGCCACGTTCTTAGACGAGACTCCGCACACCTCTATACAAAGTCTATGTCGGTGTGGTGCTATTCTCAAAAGAACATGCTTATGGAATTGGTGTTGTGATATGGGTTTCCATGGTAATTTCATGGCAAGGAAAGCACACAAATTTGGAAATATATCCTCTTATATTATATATTAAAATAATTATATTTTTTCATTTTAAGAATTTTGTTATCAAAATTATGAATGTTAATTTTTCAATGAGTCAGATTACAATAAAACATCCGATGAGTTGAGGTATAGTATATTTTAGAAATCTTTGAGGGTTAAAATTATCCTTCTTTTCGCTTGGGAAGATGGGTTTGAGAATGTTTATTTTTTTGGTAACTGATCCTAATTACCTCTCTGAGACGAATCAGAACCCTCTCGTATTCCCCACTTTTGAGAATGTCTATTGATAGTATTGTACAAGGAGAGACTATTTCTAAGAAAGTTGCATTATTATGGTTTGATAGATTTTGATTGTAGAAATATGTAACAATATAGTTTTATTGCCTTTTTTATTATGTTTCATGCCTTGAGTTTATTATTAAATAAATTTATATTTATGATAATAAAAAATATAACCAAAATAAGGTGTAGATGACATTGCTTTTAATTATATAAACTGCTAAAATGTGACCCAACAACACAAACAAACAACTAGTTAAGTTAGCATTTTTTTCAATCTTATTTATTAAAGATATTTTAACAGATAAAGAAACGGAAAAAGAAAATCCATAAAATATCATGGGCCTAAGAAATACAATTTATTTGTATAGATATTATTAAATGATTGTGGACTTTGAAATCGCCGCTAGTGACGGCGACATGCGTTTTGCTACTAGTTCCATCGTCACTCCATTTACCCAACCAAAAACAAAGATAATAAAATGATGGGCACAGAAAGAAGCAGGCCATTATTTTCTATCTCTGCCCCATTCTTATCCTGATCACAGAAAGAAACAAAGCATCGAAGGGGACATACAATTTTCATTTTTATTACTAAATTTAGAGGGAGAAAGTTACTTTGCGAACAGAAAATGAAAAGAGAAAATAATTGATTTTAAGTTGACAAGTAAATGACATGAATGAAATAGAACATCTTAGTATTTGAACTAACCAACAGAATATACATATGGGTAACGGAGCTAATCAAAATCCATGCTCCTAACATGACAAGCCTCTGACACTGCCATTTCAATTTCAGGTAAAACAAGCTGTTACAGTATCTGCATAAAGGGCCTTCTTCACATGGATGGAACAGAAAAGGAAAGTGGAACAGGAATGAATGAGAATGCACGTTTCATTAACCCCTCCAGTTGTCTTTGCGCTTCCTCATCTCTCCTAAAGCTTCAACAGGTGACTTGCAGCCCACCTTCTCCTACAAATATTAACATGTCAACAAATGCTTCAGGTTCAGCATTGTGTCACTTTATTTTTTATCCAAAATATAAAAATATAAAAAATGAAAGACTGCCACAAATTGCAGGCTTGCAGCTTCCTTTCAAAGTAAATATGCTAGAATTTCAATTTGATTGTAGAAAGCACCAATATACTTCTGAAGGCATTACTGAGTATCTATTTCATTCCTCCCTCCCATCAGTATGAAATCATCTATTTGTTTCACTTTCACACTATAAAGAGGGTTTGGAGAGGAGCGGACAAACCTGAATCTCAGGTAGATCAACCCTCATAAATGGATTGGTCTCCATTTCATCCTCAATGGTTGAAGGAATTGTTGGTTGGCCAGCTTGCTGCTGATTCTGAGCCCAGGTTAATTTTTGCTGTATCCTCAAATTGTCTGGCTCAACTATCAGAGCAAATTGCAAATTTTTCGCCGAGTACTGCAGAAAAAACAAATTCAAACTCTTAAAGGTGATTAATGACATAAGTGAGGAACAGCATATAATAAACATGCGACTAAGAATTTAAGATTATAGGCCAAAAGTAAAACTACAGTAGAACAATCTAGAATTTCTCCTTCCCTCATGCTGTATGTTTCTATGCCTCAAAGCTGCATCATTGATTCAACCTAAGCCATAAAATTTGTATTTTAAGCATAAGAGCATAACCAACTTTGCACAAATAAGCTTCTTCTGAACACTCACTAAGGATCATCTAAAGCATTCCACTTCTTCCCAAATCAGAACTTTGCAGCTGGGTCTCAAAACCAATTGTATCTTTTTTCAGCAAACCAAAGAAGTGAGTTCTAAAGTATAAAGGATCTCTGGATTTTCCTTATCAAGGGTTGTTGTAACATAATGGTAGCTCTTAACCAGAAATAAATGTTTCCATTAATAGACAGACTCCAGCATAACAAAAGGTTAGGAAACACTATCCATGAATACTTTATGGCATTTTTAGCACTAAATTCGATACAAGAATTGAGTGTTGATAGGTTCCAACTGGTATCTTTTTCAGCAAACCAAAGAACTGTGTTCCCAAGAATAAGGATATCTGGGTTTTCATGCTCAATAGTTGCTGTAATGGAATGCTAGCTCTTAAACTAGAGAGAGAGAGAGAGAGAGAGAGAGAGAGAGAGAGACTCCACTCCAGCATAACAAAAATTTAGGAAACAGTAGTATTCATGAATACTTAATGGCCTAACTCTAGCGCTAAATTTGTTACAAAAACTGAGTATCGATGGTTCCGTTACGTCTATATCAAGTTGACTACTCTATGCAATACTAAGTGGAAATATACGCCTTCCATTTCCCATTCTTTTCAGTTTACATAAAGCATGCATGGACTGACCCAAGATGTTTATTTTAGACTGTCTACAACTTCACAAACAACAATTCCCAGGGCAGCACCACTAACATCCTCAAGAAGTTCACACATTTTATGGATTGACCCAAGATGCGGAAAGAATTTGGGGAGCATACACACGTCTTCACCATCAAAATAGATATACATACTCATCAACTATAGAATGAATTAGAATTCAAATATATATTTGCATCATTCTCGAATTCTGCTATCTCCAATAATTAAATTATAAACTTTTACCAGGTAAAGTCATGCATTACATAACTGTTGAAACAGTTGTGTGGATTAAATTTGAACTTACAAGAAGATCAATCATTAATGGCAATCCCTACTATAAAATTTTTCCAGTAAGGAAGGGGACTTCAGTATTGTTTACCTCATGGCCACAGTAAACCCGTGTTGGCTTTGGTAATGAACCTAAGGTTACACAGAGTGACTGATACATCTGTTCTGCAGTTCCTTCAAAAAATTTCCCACAACCAGCAATGAACTGTAAAAAAACAATAATATAATAAGTTTAGAGATCTAAAAGTAGGACATCTTCAAAATTATATATACAAGAAGGTTTTCATAGAGAAATAATGAAAGTCAAAATAAATCATATACCCCTGACTTCAAGTATTTGGCACAGCTTTATGAAAAAGTTTATTATATGGTTTCCAAAGAACTACTTTTTCAGAAATGCTTCATAAAGACTCCTTAAAATGAAGAAGATGGATCAGTCATCTTACCAATGTATCACCAGTAAAAACAGCCGGATGCTCATCCTCTTTGCCAGTGACATAATAACTTATGTGACCTTTGGTGTGGCTGAGCAAGTCAAACAAATAGCTTATGTTATCAAGACAGGTATATGTGTCTGGAGAAAGGGTGAAAGTGAGGTTGAACCACTACAGAGCACATCAAGGAATACCACAGAAGAATGATAATTACTAACAATTAATAAAGCACTGACCAAAATTAATATTAATAACTGATAAGGCCACTGAAGCAAGGAATGCTTCCTTGGTATCACATACATCGGTGCATCTATTGGTTTAATCATCATATAAGCACGGCCAAAACCCTCTAATAGAGGATGAGAACAATTAGCACACGTTCAGGAAGCAGTACACAAATAATTATTCAGAACAAAACTTTTCTGGCAAGAGAAATACATTATTAAAGTTAACACTGTATTATGCTCGGCAGTTTGCAAGTTTTCAAATCTCTTCCAGTGTTGCAGTATCATTGGTATACAAACAGGAGTTAGACGATTTCTTTCTTTTTGAGTTTTGTGTTTCTTTTTTAGGTTTGGAGATCAGACTATTTTTATGTCATTTGAAATGAAGGGGAGACCCAAACAGTAACAGGCCCAGTCTATAATACACAGTTCACTATTTCCAAACTCTTTACATTGGGTTGGGAAAAAGAGTGCCAACAAGAATCTATAATTAACTAGTTGAGTTACCATACCAAGGTGTGTGAAGGGCCATTATACTTATATCAGCTCCAAGAGGCACCTTATCACCATTTTCAACTTTATCAGTGCAACCCTGCACGTTATCAACCGAACCACCATATACCTTGATTCCAGGTACCAATTCCTTTATCTTCTCATTTCCACCAGCATGATCCCTGTCACATAATCACACAAAAATTACAAATTTTTTTTTTTAAAAAAGAAAAGAAAAAGATGAAGCAAAAAGCTTAACACCTAGCAAAATAACCAAGAAAATGATTAACAACTTAGAGTTAGTTTTAACAAATTACATAAAATAAAAATTTAAAGGAAAATCGAAAAGAAGAGAAAAGAGAAAAGCAGTGTGCATTTACATTTTTTAAGACAAAAAAAAAAAAGACTCACCACTCATTTTTATATGGATTACTTTAGCTTCACATAGACATAACCACTACGAATTTAGATATTCAGGTGGTGTTTGGTTTCATTTTTGATCTGTGTTTCCACTAATAGTTACAAAATTCCACCTTAGTATTATTCCTATTTTCAAGAATTTGCAAAAAATAAAATAAAATAAAATAAAAATGATAAAAACAACAAAATCTTACTAAAATAAAGTAACAATTTCATAATTATAAATTGGGAAAAGTTTTTCTCCAGCCACCGGAGATAAAGTTATCTCCAGTGAGCCCAAAACGACGTCGTTTTGAGATTATAAGATTATAAGATTATAATGATAAAGACTAATATAACCCTGCAATATATTATAATTACAAAAACACATTGATCTCCACCCAAAATGACATCGTTTTGAGCTTATATCCGGTTACAGGAGAAATCCTAAATTACAAGTTGAAAACATACTATCTAAAGATAAGAACCAAAAAACAAATCCAGCACCAGATACTAAACATATTAACACGAGTTCTAAGCTAAGAAAACAAAGGCAAAGTGTGATGCAAAAGGACGCGATTAAATCATACCCACCAGCTTCCGAAAGTCATGAAATTTAACTTAAAAAAAAGAAAAGGAAAAAGAGTAGTTAGAGGGACCAGTGATGGTGGGTAGTGAGGACGAGTTTGAGTTTGAGGCCATGTGAATTGGCAGCTTCGAGAACCTTCTCCGGTTCAACGGGGTCAACCGCCGCGGCTTCTTTGGTAGTCTCGTCCACGATCCTGCAAATAACCCAGATTCAGATATTGCCCAAAATTGGAATTGAAAAAATGCAAAATTAGAATAGTTACAGCTTACAAATAGGAATAATTGTCTTGAAGGCAAGGAATGTGATAGATCTTCATGCTTCTTCTCTTCTTCCCAATTCAAGGTGAACACACACTCACTCGCACTGAGACAAAAATCTTGCTTTTGCCACTTACAACAAGCAAATATCAGTAATTATATATGATAATAAATAAGTCTTATAATTATTAGTTAATTTATTCCAAATAATTTTTTTTAAATATTTAAATTAGTTCGCCTCGCGATAGTTTGATCGGGCTATTTACGAAATTAAGACTTTAAACTGGATTGAGTTATTCCAAATATTATTAAATAGTTATTTTTTGTCAAAAATATATATTATGCGATATTATTAAATAAAATTTAGACTCCATATTGATACGTCAAATTAATTATTCAATATATTATGAATATTTTTATAACAAAGTATTTTTATTTGGAAGGCCACCTGTGATGATTTATGATAAAATTATATATCGCTTGCTAACAAGAAAAGCCTGATAATCGAAATCAAACTACAATGAAAAATTGTTGTAAATAAAAATTATTTAGTTATTATTTAGTCATTTATTTGTTGTATTGGGCCAAGCCTATTAGGTTAAAACTAGGTCAAATATTCTCTATAAATAGAGAACCCTTTGTACAGATTATTTACAATTATATAATATATTAGAATACCCTTTTCAAGTTGGTATCAGAGCTCTCGATCTGAGGGCTTTGCTTCCGCACATATTATCTTCTTTTTTAACAAAATCCTAATTTCTTTGCCTCTTGCCGCCACCGGAAAAAAATTTCGGGGACCTTTTGGACCAAGGGGACCATTGTTGACCTTATTTTTCCTCCGATCTATTATTCTACGCATTGTTCCTCCGCCACAAACGACCGAAACACCTCTGACCGCCTCCAATCAGATCTGTCTTCACCGTTTGGACCACTTTCCGGCGACTTTTCAACCGCGACCACCCACAGACAGGTGCGCGCTCAACGGACGACCACACCAGAAAAATCTCAGCCGGCGAAGCCCATCCACGCGCTCTCACGCGCCGCCCCTTTCCCGATGAGTGAATCCCACGCGCAGCTCCTTTCTCCGGCGCGTGGAGGCGCGTGCGGCCGTGTTTTTGGACCGGACCACCACCATTCTTCTCGTCTTCTTGTCTTCTGTCTGGATCTGTAATTATTTTTCTGATCAGAGGTCATTTGATATTCTGTTTGGTTGATTTTATCGCTGGTTGTTAACTTTTTTTGTTAAAGAATGGCCGAGCATGATAGTTCTTCGATCTTATCTGGTAAGAGCACACGTTCTATATCTCTTCTTGCTTCTTGCACTGATTTTAAAACCTCATGGATTTTGGATTCTGGTGCAACTGATCATATGGCTTGTCGTACTGAGTTGTTTTGTTCTTATCATCCTACTGTTGGTAGTCATACTATATCTGTAGCTGATGGATCCCATAAATCAGTTATTGGTTCTGGTAACATTCAAATTCAACCTTCCGTGTTTCTTAAAAATGTTCTTTATGTTCCTCAGCTTTCTACTAATCTTATCTCTACTCAAAAACTTACAACTGATTTGAATTGTTCTATCACATTTTTTCCTTCTCGTTGTCTTATTCAGGATCTTACCACGAAGAAGACAATTGGAGTTGCTAATGAACAGGATGGGTTGTATCATCTCCTTCCAGACCATGCTAGCAAAAATCAGTTATTAATGACACGTCATCCTTCTACTGCAGAGTCTATGATTTGGCTCCATCACAAGCGTCTCGGGCATCCACCATTTAGTCTTTTGAAGTCCATGTTCCCCTCTCTGTTTCTCAATAAGTCGGTTGAGACCTTTCATTGTGATGTTTGTGAATTTGCAAAACACCATCGAGTGTCATTTCCTTCTAGCACTATTAAAAGCAGTGAACCTTTTTCTCTTATCCATTCTGATGTTTGGGGCCCTTCTAAAGTGCACAGTGTTTCAGGTGCAAGGTGGTTTGTTTCTTTTATTGACGATTGTACTCGGATAACATGGATATACTTGATGAAAGACAAGTCTGAAGTACCAGAGATATTTATTCGGTTTCATCATATGGTTGAGACTCAGTTTGGTAAGGGTATTAAAAGACTCAGATCTGATAATGGTACTGAGTACGTCAATCAATGCCTGTCACAATTCATTTCAGACAGAGGTATGATTCATGAGCTCACATGTGTTGATACCCCTCAACAAAACGGGGTTGCTGAAAGGAAAAATCGTCACCTTCTTGAAGTTGCTAGAGCACTACTTTTTCAGACATCTGTTCATAGTTTTTATTGGGGAGAAGCAGTATTAGCTGCAACTTTTTTGATCAACTGTTTACCTTCACGGGTCCTTAACAATATCAGTCCTATTCATTCCATGACTTCCTTCTTTCCTTCTGTTCCCATATTGTAGAGCCTTCCACCAAGAGTGTTTGGATGTGTTGCCTTTGTCCATGTTCATAAACAACATCGGAGTAAGTTGGATCCTAGGGCTCTTAAGTGTGTCTTCCTTGGTTATAACCCTTATAAAAAATGGTACAAGTGTTATCATCCACCAAGTCGGAAATTTTTTGTTTCTATGGATGTCACCTTTCAAGAATCTGAATCTTATTTCCTGGGTCCTCATCGTCAGGGGAAGAATAGTTCTTCAGAAGACTCGTCCCCTTCCTTCTTTGAGTCTGGATCAATCTTCTCTCTTCCTAGTGTGTCTGCTCCTGGTGTGTCAGAACCTTCAAATACTCCTGAGATACAACCCATACTGTCTCACCAGCAACCTCAATCGTATGAACCACTGGTAAGTCCTGAATCTCCTGTTTCTGATTCTAATATTATTTCCTCTCATGATTTGTCTATTTATTCTGATATCTCTAATGACTTACCCATTGCTTCTACTTCTGATGACTTACCTATTGCTCTTAGAAAAGGAAAAAGATATTGTCACAAGAAAACTTGTTCCTCCTGTCCCTCTTGTACTCAATACCCTATCTCCCACTTTGTTTCCTCTGCTAATCTTTCTGTGCAGCACAAAAGCTTTGTTTCAGCACTAGATTCTATTGCAATCCCAAAATCAGTACATGAAGCCTTGAAAGATAGGAATTGGGCTCAAGCCATGCAAGAGGATATGAATGCTTTGGAGAAAAATAAAACATGGGAGGTTATTGATAGACCCAACGGAAAGAAAGCAGTAGGGTGCAGATGGGTTTATGCCCTAAAATATAATTCTGATGGCACTCTTGAGAGATATAAGGCTCGATTAGTGGCCAAAGGTTACACTCAAACCTATGGCATTGATTATGAAGAAATCTTTGCTCCAGTTGCAAAGATGAATACAGTGAGAATCTTGTTATCTCTTGCTGCCCATTATAATTGGGATATAAATCAATTTGATGTGAAAAATGCTTTCCTCAATGGTGAGTTAGAAGAAGAAGTCTACATGGAAATCCCGCCTGGTTTTGATTCTGTGAAGGGGAAAATAAAGTTTGTAGATTAAAAAAGGCCTTGTATGGATTGAAGCAGTCACCTCGTGCTTGGTTTAGAAGATTTACTAAGGTTATGATGACCTTAGGATACAGACAGAGCCAAGGAGATCACACTCTTTTCTTCAAGCACTCCCAAAATGGGAAGCTTACTGTGCTCCTTGTATATGTTGATGATATTATTATCACATGTGATGATTTTGTGGAGAGACAGATTCTGCAAACACGGCTTGCCTCTGAGTTTGAAATCAAAGACCTTGGGAAACTAAGATATTTCCTGGGGATAGAAGTAGCTCATTCAAGCAAAGGAATTTTTATCAGCTAGAGGAAATATGTTCTTGATCTTCTCAAAGAAGCAGGAAAGCTCGGGTGTAAACCCTCTAATACTCCTATTGAGCAGAATCACAAGATGAGCTATGAAGAAGAGAGTCCTCCAGTTGATAAAGGACAATATCAACGGCTAGTTGGGAAATTGATATATCTGGCCCATACTAGACCAGACCTAGCTTATGCTGTTAGTGTTGTCAGTCAGTTTATGCACGATCCAAAAGAAAAACACATGCAGGCAGTAGAGAGAATTCTTCAGTATCTTAAAGGTACTCCTGGTAAAGGATTGTTATTCCGACGTGATGGCATTCTATCTTTAGAAGTCTACACAGATGCTGATTATGCTGGATCCGTGACTGACCGTCGTTCTACCACTGGTTATTGCATGTTTCTTTGCGATAACTTGGTGACATGGAGAAGTAAGAAACAAGATGTGGTTGCCAGATCAAGTGCAGAAGCTGAATTTCGAGCTATGGCTCAAGGCATTTGTGAGTTACTGTGGCTGAAAATTGTACTTGATGATCTCAAAATAAAATGTGAGGGACCTATGAAGCTGCTATGTGATATTGTATAGCTCATAATCCAGTCCAACATGATCGGACTAAACATATTGAGGTTGACCGCCATTTCATCAAAGAGAAACTTGATAGCGGGTTGATTACCACTCCATACATTCCCACTGGGCGTCAATTAGCTGATCTATTAACAAAGGGGTTTCCTTCAGACAGATTTCAAGAACTTACTAGCAAACTGGGAATGATAAATATCTATTCCCCAGCTTGAGGGGGAGTGTTGTAAATAATAATTATTTAGTCATTTATTTGTTGTATTGGGCCAAGCCAATTAGGTTAAAATTAGGTCAAATATTCTCTATAAATAGAGAACCCTTTGTACATATTATTTACAATTCTATAATATATTAGAATACCCTTTTTCAAGTAAAATTTGACAAGGTCAACAATTTCAAAATAAAAGAATGGTCTAATTTATTAAAAAAATAAAATAAGACTCTAGTTTTGTTACTTAAAGAGTATTATATTTTTGTTACAATAACATAAATTTAATATTTTATAGAATTATTGAAGTTTTATGAAATTATAGAATTGACTGTATTTAATGAGACTTGTATAAATCTTATTCAAAATTAAAACCATGTTAAAATAAAAACGTGTTAATTAATATTTCAATCTTAAAGAGATAAATTTAGATTTAGGGATTGGGCCCAAAACATAAGCCCCGTTCCTTAAACGGGTAAGCCCAAAGCCGCTGCTCTATATAAAATCCTCATTTTAGGTTTTGTTTCTAACGCGGAAAGAGCAGCGCGAGAGAGAGAGAGAGAGAGAGACGCAGCCATGGGGAGAAGTAAGCCCTAATTATCTATATCTGTTGCATGATTTCGATTTGTCGTTTCAATTTCATCTTTGCTATGTTCAAAATCCATGATTCCTTTTGTTGTTGTTGGATCTGTGTATGTTGATGGTTTTGGGGGTTAGCCGGGTTGATGTGTTTTATATGCCGTTCTTAATTGAAGCTTATTTTTGGCTTTTCTGGAAAATTTTGGAAAGTGGAATATGCTGAACTGTGATGTATTTTATGTGTTGGTTTGTGATGCTGCAAATTGAATGTAAACTGTGGTTCATTGGTTTGGTAAGTCCTAGTGATTTTTGTTGTTGTTTGGAATAAATTTGAGATTGGCGTTACTTGCGATGTACTTTTCAAAGGATTCCATTGGAACATTAATTGTTATATTTTTTATTTAAGGAGTTGATGCAATGGATGGTTCTTTGTTTGTTTGTTTCGAATACATGTTAGATGCATTAACCTTACATGTAGTGAATTTATCCCAACGTATTATTTGACTAAACTTCGATTTTTTTCAAGATTTCAAATACTCGTTTGATGCTTTCGACATTGTTTGATTGAAGCTGTATCCTTTCTTTTGTGACCATATTATTTGATTCCTTGTTACCATGCCTGAGTATTATTTAGATTACTTTAAGATGTTGAGGGAGTTGCATTAATAAGATGTGCATGTGAATTGTATGGTTGCTTATTGATGATTTCAAGAATTGCATCATCCTTTTCACTTTTGTGAAAACCCAGCAACAGGTTGTGCGCAGGAAATTGCCTTCTTTCATTATCCTCGTGTGAGCCATTAAATGTTATGCTAAATGTTATATTTTATGTTATGAATTTTCTAGTATTCATATCCATTAGGAAATCCTTTTTAAATTTATATTATCCTATCTGAAATTTCAGTGTCATGTCTTTTGTGCGCATTTCTTGTAATCATAGAATATGGTTTTAGAATGAGCTGGATCAGTTTTTGTCATACTATTGTGGTGATGATAATAATGATTGGTGTTTGATTTAGGACCTGCAAGATGTTATCGTCAAATTAAAAACAAGCCATACCCCAAGTCACGGTTCTGCCGTGGTGTTCCTGATCCCAAGATCAGAATTTATGACGTTGGTATGAAGAAGAAAGGTGTTGATGAGTTTCCTTTCTGTGTCCATCTGGTTAGTTGGGAGAAGGAAAATGTCTCAAGCGAGGCACTGGAAGCTGCTAGGATTGCTTGCAACAAATATATGTCGAAATTTGCTGGAAAGGATGCATTCCACTTGAGGGTCAGGGTACATCCATTCCATGTTCTTAGGATAAATAAGATGCTTTCATGTGCTGGAGCTGATAGGCTTCAGACTGGTATGAGGGGTGCCTTTGGAAAGCCTCAAGGTACCTGTGCTAGAGTGGCTATAGGGCAGGTCCTTCTTTCTGTCCGTTGTAAGGACAGCAACAACCATCATGCACAGGAGGCACTTCGTCGTGCTAAGTTTAAGTTCCCCGGTCGTCAAAAGATTATAGTTAGCAGGAAGTGGTATGTATTTGTTCTGCAGGAAGCTACCTCTACATCTCGGTTTTTTTACTATTGCCTAATTTTTTTTATGAATAATACCTTATATTTCTTATAGATTTGCATCATTTGATTACATAGGTCTTTTTTTATGTCTATGGCTTAACTCTAGTAATTATTATTTCAAATGCTCAGGGGATTCACCAAGTTTAACCGCAATGATTATCTGAAGTTCAAGTCAGAGAACAGGATCATGCCTGATGGTGTGAATGCAAAGGTAAAGTGAAACTGCATGTAAATGCAATGTATTGTAGTTGAAACTTTATGGCATATGGATTTTGTCTTGCTGAGGACTTGTCCATGGCATATAGTGGGCAATGCATTGGAGCATATTACTGATTGAATTTTTCCTTGTGATTCAGCTAATTCTCTTCTTTTGTTGTATATAATTAGCCTTCTAACTCATAAGTTCCTCTTTGCGACTTCGCAGCTTCTTGGGTGCCATGGACGATTGGCGAACCGCCAGCCTGGAAGAGCCTTTTTGAATGCCACTTCTGCTTAGACTGTTTATTGAAAATATTAGACTTTGGATCGTATTAGTTTTGCAAGAGTGAATTTGAATTTGTTATCTTGTCTGCTCATTATATTAAATCTGAGTTAATTTTTGTTTTTGTGAACCGCCCTGAATGCATTATTTATTAATGTTATATTTTGTTATGGTCCACTTTTCGTTTTGCTTTTTTATCATTGGATATTCGATTTTTGTTGAGCTAATATTGGCTCATGGTAATGGTACCTACTATAGTTTTGTTTGCGAGATGTTGTTAGGTACACAGAATATTAAATTTGTTATTCTTTACTGTAAATATCATCCATGAGGGCTAATGCTGCCTCCATCTTGCTAGAGTATGCATACAAATAAAGGACAAATATAATGTTTTGGATTCACACATCCTGACGGTCTAGTTTGAAAGCGGAGAGGGTACTCAATCTGATGCTTTGATTTTAGTTTTGTGTGCGTACTGTCTTGGTGATCTTTGAACTCTGGTTTATTAGCTGGGCTGGCTGGTCATCAGCTATTGATATACAATATAAGGGAAATTGCAAGAATATTAAAATAAAGTATAAAAAAAAGTTCACCTTTATTTTGTATATGAGTGGCCGTGATTTTCATTTGTATATGTATAGGCGCTGATTGATAACTGTTTTTTAAAAATAGTTTTTTTTTTTTGTTATCAAAAAAAAAAAAACATGTTTGATAAAAGGTCTCTTGTAAAAGAAATTTAAAAAGTTGTAATTATTTTTTTTATAATTAAATTTAAAGAAAATGTCGGAGTTGTTTTTATTTTTTGTTTTTAGCTTTTAAAAAAATTTTATATGAAATACTTCTTGTCATAATTATTCTATAAAATAGTGTTAAGAAAAAAAAATCAGAACACTCTTTAAAAAAATAAAAAATCAGAACACAATTAAATAGATTTATAATATTACATGAGACAATTTTGTCATATCCACATGTAAAAAAGGGTGAGATTTTTTTTTTATATGTTGTTTAAGATAAATATTATTTTATCCTATATGAAAAATGTATTTCTTAATTTCATATCACCTGGTGATATTAGATAATTTGTGTCTATTACTGTACATGGTGATATTAGATAATTCACGAAGTGTATACATTCTACGGGGGGGGAACATCAATCTCGACCAAAGGATGTGTTTACCTCGTTTTTCTATTTCTTCTCACTATCTCTCTTGTTAACATGAACTCGCTAAAAGCAGAGGTTTGATGTTGAATGCGAGGCTTACTTATGTTATTAGCGGGATCTCTAATAACATAAGTAAGAGATATCATTTTCAAAGAGTAGTTAACAAGAGCGATATTGAGATGTTCACTGAGAATAGAATAGCTCACCTATCGAACGATATTGGAGCTAAAGGCCAGAGCTAGCATTCCAAATGTAGCTATAAGAGCATGTATTTCCTAACCGCTTAGAGTTGTGGAGTCTACTCTAATCAAAAGGTGGGAATAAAGGAGAAGTGGGCGTAGAGGGTGGAAAAAGCGCGGGGGGGAAGGATAGTGAATACATAAAGGCAAATGTACTACCCTTCTATTTCTTATTTATTTTTTTCGAATCAATAATAAACACTGCATATCAATTAAAATAAACATATTATCACCAGTACACAAGTTTGTTTATGTAATTACTTGATCGATTTCTCTTTTCTCATATTATAAGAGATAACATATCTCATATTATATGGGATAAAATATCTCATATTATATGGGATAAAATATCTCATATTATAGATATAAGTGATGGAGTTTACCACTTATTTAAAAAAAAAACAAAAAACAAAAAACAAAAAAAAAATAACACAAATTTTAATATCTCACAATATAAACAAATCTCGTATTGAATGATAAAATAATTTCCCTTACCTTATATAAAACAAGTTTTTAGTATTTTTCTTTGTCTGTAAGAGTGAAATATCTTCAATGCATCTTTTACTTAAAAAGAAAAAAAGAAGTAAAATCCGTTTTACCTATTCTACCCACTCTTTTATGATTATATCATCTAAGTCCTTTTTTTTCTATTTTAATAAAGGAGTAATTACTAAGGGATATTAAAGATATGCTCCTCTAAAAAATAAAATTATTTTCCATAAATAGTACAGTATGTTGGAGAAGTTAATTTTTTAAAATATTCTGTATAATTTTTTTTTGGAGAAAGTTCACCAATGCCCCTGTGGTTTACTCCAGAATCACTTATGCTCCTGTGATTTTTTTCTTATCACATATGCCCCTGTGGTTTATAAAAGAGTATGTTTTTTTATCACATATGCCTCTATGGTTTCTTATTTTTTACAAAGCACAGGGATATATGTGATAGGAAAAAAATCACAGGGGCATGAATGATTTTGAAGCAAACCACTAGGGTATTGGTGAACTTTTCCCTTTTTTTTTTTCTAAATTCCAAAACAAGATTATTTTGAGATTATAAGACATAATTTTATCTTGTAAAAAGAAATACTTCCCATTCGGTGATAATGTGATAGTTGAGATTATAATGTCCATGCTTGCCGCCTCTTACAAGTAATGTTGACTCAAGTGAAATTAAATTATTTCTTGGTGTTATTTGTATTTGATTTCACAACAGGAATAAAAATTTTGGCGATTAATCAGTAAAAACTGTTAAAGAGAAAATTCAATGAAGATATATGTATATAAATGGAGTATGAAAATTTCTTGTACATACCCATTATTAAATCTCTATTTTTTTTTTGTATTTTTAAAATTTTTAAATATTAAAATATTGATTAAATGATTTATGTTGATCCAATGTCATTTAAATAATTTTATACATTTATCGCTGATTGTTTCATGTTTCTTTTTAATTGTGAAGTTTGCTTTGTCCCTCTATGTTCATGTTCTTCACAGGTTATGACTCGGGGTGTAAACAGGACAGGTTAAGCCTGCAGGCTTTGGCTTTAATAGCCTAAGCTTATCTAAAATATTTAGAGCCTATACTGACTTATTAACATATTAAATGTTTGATTTATTGGTTTGGCCTGACCTATTATAAAAAATTAAAACACCTAATGTGGTCTGTAAGGCCTACCAAGTTGCAAACCAAGTGGGTGTACTGGATTAGGATTTCAGAGGATTTTAATGGATTCTTTTGGACAAAAAAATCCATTGGTATTCAGTTAGAATTTTAAAAGATTGAAAAAAAGTCATATGGTATTTAATTAGGATTTTAAAATATTAATTTAGACCCGTCCAAATTCGTTGGTTTTCAATCAGGATTTTAAACAAAGGAAAAATAATATTGTGGTATTCAAAAATCTGACGATTTTAATGGGTTTCCCATTGGTGTGGATTTCGTGAGACTTTTTAGTGAGAAATATAAATAAGACATCACTCTCACAATCTCACCCTAACCCCTAGGATTTCTTGAGAATTCTCTACTGCAGTGTCTCACAATCTACTCTAGCATTTTCTCAAAGCCAAGGTATGTTCTTTTTTTACTCTCATATATTTTATCAGGTTTGGGTATTCCTCCTTCATGATTGATGATTGTGTTTGTCGTATGTATTTACCAGGTTTTGGTATTCCTCCTTCATGATTAATGATGTGCTTCATTTTATTTTTTACCAGAGTTGTACAGAGTTGACGATAAACATGTATCTAATCTCTAAAATTGAACTAATAAGCTTACCACATATATTCTTTGTCGACCTTCTTCTTTTGTATATTGTTTGGATTATAATGAGCATAAAATCCTAATATTCTTCGTGTTTGGCAATGATACATATTAAAAATGTGTTCAATCTTCATCATGCATCATTGAGAAATGTAATTGAGAGGATATTTGGCATATTTAAATCACGGTTCACAATTTTTAAGTCAGCACCTCCATTTCCATTTAAAACACAAGCAGAGCTTGTGCTAGCATATGTAACACTACATAACTTTCTTCGCAAAGAATGTCGCAAGATAAATTTTCAATTGAATCAGTAGATGCATCTTCATCTTCAGTATCACCAGTTAATGAAGAAGATTATTTTTAACTCATTGGTCAAACCCAAGAGCAGGATTAAGAAGATGCTGATGCGTAGAGGACTAGTATAGCTTTAGATATGTGAAGAACTGGTGCTTAGTAATTTTGAATGTTTGTTAAAAATTATATTAAGTTTTACTGATTGAAAAAATTATATTAGGTTTTCTTTTTTATTAATATCATTGCATTTTTTTTATTATTATTTTTATTAACTCTTGTAATTTTGAATGTTTGTTAAAAATTTATATGGTTTTTTAAAATCGTATAAATCCATTTGTCCTTTCAAATCTTATAAATTCTATTAAAGTTTATAAGATTTTTTATCTCAAAAAAAGTCTTTTAAAATCATAATTTAATACACCCCTAAAGTTTATAGGCCAAAACCAAATTGAAATGTAAAAGATAAAAAAAATTATTCACAAATATCACATGAAATAAATTTTCATTAACATCACATGTAATAATGTTCGTAAACATCACATGAAAATGTTCATAAAAATCACATTAAAATTTCATATATGTATATATACATATAATTTGCACTTTCTTTACTAATTGAATTTTATATTATATTTTAAATTTTAAATATATATTTATTATTTGTTAAAATAATATTAATCCTTTTACTTTGAAAATTAATGTTACAAATTATGATCTCAGAATATGTTTTTAAATAAATAATATATATCATAAATATATTATATTATTAAAAAAATAAAAAGTATGTGTAATTATAATAAATATTTTGATATGTCAAATTTTTTGGTCCCGATTAAAATTAAATTCTGACTCCACCACTGCTTATATTAATAATTTTACGTATAATTTCGTGAAGGAAATATATATAAAATACATCTTGATATTTTGTGAAGGAAATATATCTTGATATATAAAATGTACACCAATAACAATGTACATCAAATGCCAATCATTGGAAATTAAGTACAGATATCAAATAAAGCTGCTGATGATTAAATTGAATGACTAAAGTAACAACCCCTGAAATTACTTTATGTAAAATCATAACAAATTTTGGAAAACACAAACAAACAGCTATAAACTATGATCAACCCTCAGATTTTGTGACATTCATTACCGAAACAATGAAACGAAAAGAAAGTAAAAATAAATTAAAAAATTGTAGAGGAAACACCTTCTT